GGTGTTTCTATGTTGCAATTTATCCAATAATGCATAATCTTTAGTAGATATGTATTCAAGAGCTCCGTATGTTTGTCTCTAAATATTCTAGTATCCACAAATCATTACGTAAGGCAGTAGAGTAAGGAAGGTATTTTCTCATGTGGGCAACCTGAAGTCCAGATATATATTGTAGCCTGGCAGCAGGTGGCTAAAGGAAAGCTCTGTAAAGAAGGGATATTCTGAAAATCAAGTTCCTATTATTTGAAATGAAAGTTTGGGAAGTGAGGCAGAAGTGCCACCAAGGAAGACGACATTGGCTGGTGTGTGAACAGACGACTTATTCCTGCTGCTGCTTGAATCAGGGTGGCAAGAGAAACAACAGCCCGGGAATTCCCCCTGCAGGCTAGTAGAAGCAGTTGTCCCAACAACAGTCTGGTTTCACAGGAGGAATGGCACTCATTACAGAGAGACCCCTCCCCCAACCAGTACACCCAACTCCTGACAGTGGTATTTTCTGGGCTGTGGAAGAAGCTTGTAACAGTACAATATACTTATTGCTTCCCTCACCCAATATGACCACTGATTAGAATTACAAGTCAAAATGATTTAGCAGACTATCTACATTGTGTGTGTGCACAAATTTTTGAACGTCTTCTTTGAAACTAATGTCAAAGGGCATCTTTCTTACTATGCTAATTATTAACTCAGTTAGAAAGCAATTTTCCTCTGCAATAAAGATACCCCAAGCCAGTTGCATTCTTTAGTATTTGTTATTAATTAAATTATACTTTTTTGGCAACAGGAAAACACAACTGAGTAGCTATTTGTATAGGACAAGTTGGTGGAAACAAAAATACTATAAAACGGATGAACAAGTATCCCGATTAGTCCATCTTTACAAGAAAGTGAGGCAGGAGGAAAAATTAAAGGGGTATTATAGGAGCATAACTATTACATAGTAGTTAACCTGATACTTTTGATCAGTGATGCTATTATTTAGCAAACCAAAAAACTAATCAAGCTAAAAATAAATTAGCAGCAAAACTCATGCAGTGTATTCCAAGAAAAGAAACACAAAGGCGCAAAAGTGATACTTTATTCATATTTGTTACTTTTACATAACCCAGAGTAAGATATACAAACAGATAAAAATGACCTAAGAGTGAGTTAGTTTACACATCACTAAATTCAATTTAAATTTGTATTGATAAAATACTGAACGGAGATGACAAAATACTCCAAGTTCAGAAAAACAGATTGGCTACTATGGCTGAAAAATTCCAGTGATCTTTAACTGATCACAAATTATCACTTGTTTTATATTTATCATTTAAAACTAACTGATGCATATTACAAAATTCCCATGGTACACTCAGTCTCTGTGCTCATAAAATGTATTTTAGTCATATCAAATTTCATTACAATGGAAAGAATTATTTGTGATGTCAGAATATTTCACCTCAACACAAATCAAAAGAATATTGAAAGTACCTCTCTCACCCATATAGTGACACTGGATAATACTGCAGTATTAGCTGGACTTCTATCCATTTTATTTGCTCACCCACAGAATCATTTTGGTGCATTCTGCAAACTACTGTATAACACTTATATCCTTATGACCAACACAAACAATGTCTCTCTCATGTTAATGAGGAACCACCAGACCAGAAGTAGAATTTAGCCCCATGTTTTAAGGCAAAAACAATCCTATAAGGTGCCAAGTGCCCTCCTTTCCCATTGGCTAACCATCGTTCAGCACCTCACAGGATAAGGGCCCTTAATGGGCAGTAAAACACAAACAGGGAGGCAAAGGCATTTTTGCCACACTACTATAAATCATAGTCGAATCAGAAACTCGCATGCAGATTAAACAGTAATAAAGTAGCTAATAATGTAATACGTGAATATTGTGACAGGCTGAATATTATTTTCTTTGGACAAAAATACAAACTGCTGTGATTGGACAGGAAGGGAAGTTCAGAGTGAATGAGGATAAAGGCTAGATGCATGTTCTTCCCTTCCTTCTTAAGAACAGAAGGGCCTTGCAGAACAAAAGAGCTTTACCAAATATTTGACCTGGAATTATACAGATCTCTTCTGTTACAAAGATTAAAATTGTAATCTGGGAAGGAAAGAAAAGACCAACCCTTCCCACTCTCTCACACACCATAAAAAAAGCTTTATTAGGCAAGGAAGCAGTCTGAATCGCAGTGTACAAAAGAAAAATATATATGCAAATTTCAATATTGTGTTGAATAAAGTATGAATTATTTTTATAGGAAATAGAGAAAGAGCAAAAGCAGACTGTATGGTAGCCTTCTTTTCTAGAAGAAGCTGAAAATATATACAGCATGGTAACTAAACACCAATTAAGCCATTTTAATTGTCAGTGTTATATAAATGAGATATACTGGGATAGAAATACATTCAAAAATCAAGGGCCTTTAATGAGTGAGTTATAAGAAACTGAAATGACATTCATGACTACACACATTCCATATAAGCAAAAGTCTATCCACATATATTTATATCTACATGAATAAAAAACTAAGTTTAGTACTTGTGAAATGTATCCAATTGCTAGCACTGAACTGACGCCATTCCATTCATCCACGTAACAGACATAGTATTACCAGTAGTCGAGTAAGCGTCCCACTCTGTACTGACAAAGTGGCTCCACTCAGGTATCTAAAAACTATTCCTGAGTGTAACAGGGCATTTCAAACTTCAAGTATAGTCAATCCATGTCCAGAGACTGCCAAAAAGAGTGTCAATTCCAATTGTGGTTTCTGTAATATGAACATGTGTCTACTACATGCTGAACTGAGACCATCCTGTTATTTTACTGTCAAACCACCAGCCAGCAACCTCCTGTTACTGACTGAGTCATCCAATCCTCTCAAAAATAACTAGTAAATCCTGTGAACTGACTCTTCAAACTTACATTTCATTTGTGATTTTTCAATGGCCAGAATGTGTAAAGGAGATTAAAATAATACAAGCAACTAAATCAAGAAATTACTTAAAATAGTGTAGTAAGAAGACATTTAGTTGCTGTCTGTTATATTTTAAGGTTACATGATTAATTTCTGAAAAATGCTAAAAAGATGACATTTAAGGACCTGAAGACATTGCCCAGTCATGTATCATTGACTCTCCTCAAAGACCTACATGACTAACAGCCAGACAGTTTCACGAGTATCTAGATTGCAACATCATAAAGAATAAGATGTAAAGTAAAAGTATAGTTATACCTTCATGATCAAGAAAGTAAAACAAAATGCTGGTTTTGTAACAGTGCAACAACTGCAGCTTACTTTGCGTGCAGCACACGATTTGCTACATTTAGTGGCACTTATGTATTATGCAGTAAATATTGAAAATAAGACTGAATTTTTGGATCTCCATCAGCATAATCACATTATTACTACAAGAGTTGCTAAGCTACAGCATTCTGAATACCACCAATTCATTTTTAGTACTTAGATCGCTAGTTTTAATACATTTCAACACCCTGCCTTCTGTCCTGCTAATGGTGTAATTATTGGAGCAAAGCATTTCATGAATTCTGCTTCTGCACTTGGACCAGGTCTCAGTCTGACCAATCATTTTCATCAAATTCTGAATCATCATCAGAATCGCTGTACTCCACAGCAATGCGCCTTGAAAGAATAGTTGCCACATCATTTCCAACAGGTTCTCGCTTTGCTTCTTGTTCACGTTGCTCTTGTACCTTTTTCAGCTGAATTCCTATAGACAGGTAGACAAGTCTATTCACAAACAGTTCTTTGCACCTAAAATATAATTTACGGTTGTTGCTGCATTTTATACTTTAACTAAAGTTGAGAGGCATTTCCAACAGGTGAAGGAAAAAAGACAGATTGGAAGTCATGAAAACTTTCTTGATCAAGAAAGACAGACAGACACACAAAGTGGACTGACATCAGTCTTTCCAAGAGCACGTGCCCGTAACTTTCTCAAAATAGCCTGCTATGGTTTAAATTAAAGTTCTAAATGACTATAGGACACTTTCAGTAGGAGTGATGTCAAAATTCTGTCTGGAAGCATTTTAAAGGGTTATGCTTTTTAAAGCAAGCATAACTGAATGAAGGCTGCAGCACCTGATTACAAAATATTTTCAACTGTTAAAAAAAGCCAAATCAAATGCACTGGAGTCAATGTTTGGATTTCACAGCTGTTGCAAGGAACCCCATGGAACCTGCACACTTTTTAAAAGGATACTTCATATACTGAAGATGAGTAAAAGTTTTCATTTGACTTCATTCAAACAAGCAGCTGAATTCATCTTAAATCAGTTGTAAGCCTTGGAACGTATGACTTGGTGTACAGACCCCACCCCAAGCGTTGCAAGGAGGTTAACACCCTGAGGGCTTGTTTTCACTAGCAGGGTAAGTCGACCTAAGTTACGCTACTCCAGCTACATGAATAACATAGCTGGAGTCCACAGAGCTTAGGTCTTCACTGCACTGAGTTGACAGGAGATGCTCTCTGGTTGACTTCCTTTACTCTTCTCGGAGAGCTGGAGTACTGGGGTCAACCGGAGAGCGCTCTGCCATCGATTTAACGGGTCTTCACTAGACCCGCTAAATCGATCCCTGCTGAATCAATTGCAGTGGCATCGATCTCCCCGTAGTGGAGACCAGCCCTCTGTCAAGGCATACCAAAAACACATGTCCGAAGAGCAGGGACTGTCAAGATACCTAGGCTGGGCCAGTTGTAGTGAAGTATTTCTCTCAGCAAATTATGAAGATGAAATTGTGGCTTGTGGTTAACAGCAGCCATGAACACAAATCATAGGAGACACTGTAGTCTCACTGTGTAAAAGGAATAGCTCTTAAACTCTATGTTCACTTACCCATTCGAATAGCAGCAAGAAGATCACTTCGAGCATCACTGATCGGCGGCTGTGTGGATTCATGTCGTTTTGCCTCAGGAACTGTAAAAGCATGCATCGGGGAGGACGTGAGAGATGAACCTACAGCAGGAGGACCTGGTGGGGGAGGAGGTGGGCCAGGGGGAGGGGAAGCTGTAACAACAAGCCCAGAAGAAGGAGGAGGAGAAGGAGCAGCAGCAGCAGCATAGATAGATCCAGTTACTAGTCCAGAATGGGAAGGTGGCACAGGAAGTTGAAGAGGACTAACAAAAGCAGTTTGTGCTGAAGGAATCATAGGGGGAAGAGGAGTGGGGGGAGGTCCAGTAGGATTATAATAATCCACCAACTGAGTTGGGAGCATCCTACATAAAAAAAGAACAAAAATAACTTTAAAGAACTGAAATATTTGTCAGTAAGAAGAGTGCTTTTCTGAAATGACTGAAATATTTAAACACTTAGCACTTACACAGTGGTCACCCTTTAAAATGTGCTCATTTTGCCTCAGGTACCATTAACTCACTCTTTGCAGCTTTCCCCAGCCAATTCCTTAGATTTTCATATAGGAATATTGCAAATACTGAGGGGTAGTGTTATATTGTTATCCAAGGCAGTTAAAATTTTTAAGGGCAAGCAGTATATAGGGCTTTTCATATTCAAAGTGCTTTTACAAACACTGTCTGAATCCTCAATACGTCTGTGAGATAGACAGATAGATGTATTTGTTTCTAAAGAATCATTTTAACCTCTCACATATGTAATGTGGGAAATTTCAATATATGCATCTACTTCTATTGTTTTCTTGCAGTTTTCAATATTTTTTGGCGCACTACCCTGCGGCTATTGTTCCTCGTGTACAAGAAAATCTTGCCACTATCCCTTTGTTCGGCAATGCATTGAAAGCATTTCACATTTTACAGACATATCAATTGTCATGTTACACCCCATATTCTTTATGGAAATATGCTTATGATATGGATATGGCATAACAAATATATTTTATGCAAGATGGGTCTTGTATGGTATCTTCAGAAAGGTTATAATTTACTGAATGTGAGTATCCAATTTGTATGCATGTATCATTTCTGTATCTGAAGTTAGGAATATTGACTATGTAACAATTACAACTGTGTGTATTTGGAAGACACCCACCAGACAACAGGCCATCAGGCTTGATGGGCCATTAGGAAGAAACAATAAGACTGTGAAGATACTAATCTTTCTCCTTCCTGAGAGGCATCCTGGGACATAGCTGTGACACTACTAGGTCAGGTGGTCCTGTCACCTGGTACTAAACACCATCTTGGACTTCTAGTAATTTTCCACTAAAAGGAGGGGGAGGTCAAGACTGGGAAACAAAAGATTCCCACCTTATGTAAATCTTATTTAAGGCTGGGGATTAAGACAAACAGGACTCTTCTCCATTGCCTTCCTCCCCAAGAAGGAAGACTGCTGAAAGTACCTGAAGAGACAAAGGAACTGAGTGGTGGGAAAGGCAAGGGCTGAGTCCAGACTAAGACAGGAGTCTAGTCTGTAAAGAGAAATAACTGGAATTCTAAGCTACAGAAACTCTGCAACTTGCCTAAAACAACATTTAGGGTGAGAAATTATTTCTTGAAGCCAGTCTCTAAGATTTTAAACTTAGTATATGTGTTTTGTTTTATTTGCTTGGTAATCTGCTTTGTTCTGTTGGCTATCTCTTATAATCACTTAAAATCTGCCTTTTATAGTTAATAAACTTGTTTTTGTTTATTATTAAACCTAGTTTGTGCAATTTATAACTGTGGGGGGGCAAGAAGTTGTGCATATCTTCCTTCACATTGAGGGAGGGGGCGAATTTATGAGTTTACGTTGTATAGATTTCTCTACACAAGACAATATTATTTTGGCTTTTATTATTATTACTTTCCAGAGGGGAGCTGAACTTGAGTGCTGGGCAATTTCCTAGCTGAGTCTTCTCATAGAGAGCTGTTTGCAGACTGTGTGATTCTACAGCCGGTGCATCCCTTCCTGTGTGTGTGCTGCCAGAGGCCGGAGAGCCTAATTCAGCATAACAGGGAGAGGGAGCCCAGGCTAGTGGAGCAGGCAGGCTCAGTGAAATTCCAGTATGTCAGGTGGCATCCCAGAAGAGGAGTCCAACCCGTCACATCAATGTTATTAAATACATTGTTCTGTATTTCAGTTTTTGACATTTCCCCACCTCCATTTAGTTCACACTGTTAAATATACTTTGCAAATTAGCAAATTTCCTACCTACCTAACTGAAGTGTTAACAGGATTAGTTAAGTTTGTACAGAGTTCTGAACATGTAAAACAAGTCCTAAGTATTGTATTATGATGATGAAAAATCCACATCCTATTGGTCATTCCAAGAGCCCACACCAGTAAATCAGAAGTTTTACCCATAGTCTGCTGGTACCAAAGGTACAGAGCTGTGTGGGCCATCTGAGGCCTGGGGTGGAGGTGGAGGTGGTTGTTGAGGTCTGTTTAAGGTAGCATGCCGCACTGTGGTAGCAGATGGTCTATATTCATGTTCAAGTCCCTGGTTTACACCCATATACTGTGGTCCATCTCCTGTTCCATATGAAGACATTACTGGCTGCTGGTGGAGGGAATGATTCGGAGTAGCAGGATAAGAATAATCGGTAACATCGGATGCATGGGACCTAAAATTAAAGTAAATGGGATAGGGTGGAACAGAACACATGAGTGCAGCAGAACACTGTCTCCACTGCTAAGCAGTAAGGCTAATGACTGCCTTGGGAATGACTTGTGATGGGTTTCCCTATTTTCATTATCAAGCATTTGTCAGACCATGGAAACTACAACAGCAGCAATATAATTATTAAGGCAACAGCCAGCCCCTGTTCAGATTCATGTGACTTCAAAATGAATTAATCTGACAAACTAGAGTACACAGAGACTAAATCTTAATCTGCAGGGCTTGCATCTTTTCAATATTTTGGCATATTAACTCTGTGACAGAATACTGTAGAATAAATAAAATTAAATTAAAAAAGCAAAACCAATAACAGCTTTTTTTTCAGTCCTCTCCTAGTTGCAAGGAAACACTGATTTTTTTTTTTGACAACACACAATTAATAACTGTGGGCAACCAGCTAAGTATTAACAATGAAAGCAGAAAGAGAAAGCAAGAATGGAAGCAGTCAGTTATACAGAAAAACATATTTTACCAAAGCAGAGAGAACTAATTTCAAAAGTTTAATCTTTAAAGGCTTGCTTGCTTTCTTTGCATAAGTAGTTTGGTTGGAAAGGCTGAGAGATATTGAAAAACGCAAATATTATTAGTTGAGCAGAGAGTTCATAAAGATGCAAAGTCTATGATGCTTTGTCAAATAAGCCCAAGAGAGGGAGCAAAAGGATCTCTTCATCCCATAACTGCACAGAGCTGTACTGCATTAGTAACAGTCGTGCGGCCTGTCACTTGGTTAAAACAGATAGTCAGTAAAATGATGCACGTCATCTCTAAGACTGGAAACAAGGCAAGCAACAAAAAGCCAGGGGTTTGAGTAAAACAAAATGACACACCCTTTGGGCATTTTGTCCTTTTTCATACTTCCTGCCTGCTCCAGTTTCTTTGCGTCACTCATGAACTCAATGCCCATTTTCCTTCTTTCCCACTCTTCTTTTCTTGTTCTTACTTTTCTCACATTTATTTGCTGGTTTCTATTTGGATTCAGCTTGTGTCTCTCTCTCTGAAGCACAACAGGTGTAACATAAATGCATTGTAATAAGTAGACACAGTCTGGAAACTTGGATTTCAAACGTTATGGATTTGACTGGGACAGCATAAAAACAAAGGCTTTTAAATCACCTAAGCTCTGTATTAAAATATAACAAGATACTATGAATACAACCACATCTTTGTATGAGTTAGTTTATATATAGGCACTCTATTTATAGGCATTTCTATTTGCACTCATCAGCATAAGACAACTTTTGTGAGAACTGGACTCTCTTCTACATTTACTTTTATTGCTTCATTCCCACAACGTTCGCAAGGTAGATCAAGGATAAAAGGGTGCATTATACAAATTACTAAATCTCTTCCTCACCCTACCACAGTCCCAAAACTAACCCACAGTTGAAGTGGAGATTTCTGCAATGCAGCATTGTTGAAGCCATGTTCAGTTCCAGGATATCAGAGACAAGGTGGGTGAGATAATATCTTTTATTGGATCAATTTCTGTTGGTGAGAGAGACAAGCTTTCAAGCTACACAGAGCTCTTCTTCAGGTCTGGGGAAGGTACTAAGAGTGTCACAGCTAAATATAAGATCAAACAGATAGAATGTGCGCTAACTACTTATGCTAAACTAACTTGTATTTACCTGTGACACACTTGGTACCCTTCCCAGGCCTGAAGAAGAACTCTGTGTAGCTTGAAAGCTTGTCTCTCTCACCAACAGAAGTTGGTCCAATAAAAGATATTACGTCACCCACCTTGTCTCTCTAGACTACGCAATAGAGGTAGGTATTTCATTCATGCAAAATTCATAATTCACATTGCTATAAGCATTTCAAAACCTGTAATAAGAAAGGGATAGTACAATGTCATAACCAACTTGATACCACAAATAATCCTCCTTCCTCCACCCACACCAAAATACCCCAGATCCTAGTGGAGGGTCTTTACAGTTCCTCCTTGGGGAAAGCTACATATTGCAACTATTTCCCAGAGCTTGCTTTCTTCACATTATAAAAATCTGAACACAAAGCGTGATGAACACATGTTTTGACATAACAGGGAAATAAAGGGAAAAAAAGGTAAATTAAATGTGACTCTTTAATATCAAGGTCCCTGGAAGCCACGTGATAGGTGTGTTGAAGGGAAAAAAAACAGAGATGCAATAAATCTACATCTTGCAGTTCAGTAATGGGCACTGATATCATCCCATCAGTTCAATCAGGCCTGGATTAACCAAAGTGCCCTTGGTAAACTTGCACAGGTCCCCATCTCAGGCCCCCCTCCTCCCTCCACAAACACTATGGGGTGTGAAAAGCTACCTACACACTCACAAAAACACCAGTGCTGGGAAGAAGGTGGGGTGGGGTGAGGGCCCTGTCTGCATGCTGTGGCAAGAGCCAACGGGCCAAAGCTGGGAGGAAGATCAGCCCCATGGCACAGGAGCTGCAGCAGGGTGAATGCAGGACAAGCTCACTCTAGAATACCCTCCCCTGTCCCGGGGCCTCCCACCCAGGAAGGTGGGAGCCCCTCCATTGCCATAGTGCACAAGGCACCAAAATTCTTTTATCTGGCACTAAATTCAAGCAAGATTCAGATCAACATTTTGAAAATACTAACTTAAAAGAACTTTGCATAAAAAGAAAAATTAGAGTGATTAGCAGGACATATTTTTGGCAGTAGAAATTATGGTAAACTAAAATAAACTGGTAAAAAAAATAGACAAGGGAAAAAGTCTGAACACAAACTCTTGAAACTTAACATTGATGGAAAGAGAAGAAACAAAATAAAACTCTGGCTGGTTTCCAAAGAGTCGTCATCTGGCAGAAGACTACAGCACACAAAAAAATTCAACGTTGAAGAAACAAAGTTCTGAGCAGATTCCCCTTCATTAATCACAACTATCCAGTGAACTGAAAACATCAATCCCACTCCTGCTCAGTGGCTGTTGCCCAATGGTCACAGCAAGTAAACAACCTAAACACTTACTGGAATTGTGAAATAGTTTGGCTTTCCACTAGATTCCAATTATTTCCTATGTTTCTTCTGCCTATCAATTAAATACGACACATAGAACATACGTTTAGGGAAAAATTCTCTACCTAGACCCACTTGATGAACAGCCTCAGATGTCTGGCTCTCCCTTTGCATACAGATCTCCTACTGAGCTCAAAGGGAGTTTCATACACATGGTGGGAGCAGAATACTGAAGATGAGCTCTGTTGCGTGCACCTGAGAGAAGATTTTTGTTCAAAGTGACTTGTTTTAAGCCATAACGATGCAGCTGGTTTTGTAGCTTGCTTTTGTAAAAAAGCAGAATGACAATAAAGAACTGTTTCCCAATTATAGCATCCCACTAAAGGCAAAATTATATACATCACCAGGTATTTAAAATATTTCTCACAAACAGAAAAACACTTGAAGAGCTCACAGATGACTAGATCCTGAAATGATTAACAGTCATCTTGCACAGAAAAACAACATTACTGTCAGTAGCAATAAAATGTATCAAGGTCAAAATGAAGGAAGAGACACTGGAACTAACAATTATATACAGATCTAAATCCTTCTTCAATTATACCTGTTCAAAATGCAAAAATAAAATATGAAGCAAACACCATCACACGAGTTAAATACAATGACTGAAGTTCAGTCAACAAAAACATATGGAGTGGATGTACAGAAATTTCAAGTAATTAGTACATATTTCTTAAATTTCACAGTACTTTACAAGCATTTTTGAGAACAAGTTTAAAATGTTTATGGTGTCTTTTCTATACTAACTGCTACATTCTCAATCTAAGGCTATTCAGAATCTCTGAACATGTAACTGTGATATAGCAAAGGGCTTGTTGTAAACAGACCTAGTATCTGGGGACAGTGATCCCTCTGAAGATGCTCCATGGTACACATTTTGAGACAACCTGTTGTCAGGTCTAAGCTCTTTGTCATATGCCATCATATTCCACTCCTGGCGCCTGTTCCTGGCTTTTCTAACCTTTTTCACCTCACGGGTTGTGCCATCTATACGCTTTTGCTCCTTATGTTCAAAGGAGAGAAAGCAAGCATGCAAAAGAGAGAGAAAAGGAAAGGAAAAGAGCAGGTTAAAATGCAGTTAGCGTGCACAGAAATAAGACTAGAATTACAGATAAAGCCAAGTCTACATAAAATTCCTCTGCAGTAACAATGACAATGAAAGAGTTAAATATCTCCTTATACTATGGACCTGACAGAAGGTAATGTTATTCATTACTGTACTATTACTGTTTCTTTGACATACTTTTGTAGAAAATTTTAATTTAAGTAATGATCTTCACCTATTTCCCCACCCCCAGTAAACACAAAATAATTGTCATTGTTAAAAAGATACATTTTTTTAAATCTTTCCTCACAATACATGGTAATGATGTATTCAGACAATTCTGAAATGCATCCGATAACACTTCTTAGATCTACGAATAATATAAATGTGTGTGTAAAACATAATCAGAATGAATTGCATATAAACACCAATGGTTTTGCATGCCTATAAAGCACCTAGAGTTTTGAAAGAAATATGGAAAAGTAGTAATTCTTTCCAGTTGCTATTACATGCCACGATTTGAGATTTCCTTTTGTAACTTGTTTGTCCTTTCATGTCTGAATAACAAATAAGAAAAAGAACAAAATTCCTCCCGCTCTCTCCTCACTCTCATTTCACATGATCTTATAGGAAATGAGTCACATTAATCATATTTGCAACACGTCAGTATTCAATTCAGTAATTTATTTTATCACAAAGCTATGAGTCTGTTTCATATAAACCTCTACTTCGATATAACGCTGTCCTCGGGAGCCAAAAAATCTTACCGCGTTATAGGTGAAACCGCGTTATATTGAACTTGCTTTGATCTACCGGAGTGCGCAGCTCTGCCCCCCCCGGAGCACTGCTTTACCGCGTTATATCCGAATTTGTGTTATATCGGGTTGCGTTATATTGAGGTAGCGGTTTACTTGAGATTTTGGTGTAAAACTCCAAGTACTTTCAGTGAATTCTTTCTTTCTTCCTCTCTTTCCAGTGCTATTTTAGTGCTTTCACAAACATCCACAACCCCAATGGTAGCTATCCTGCCCAACCAACATGATGAATACATTTTAAAAAAAACCGTAGAAATTAAAAAAACCAAACAGATTTATTATAGGGTCAAGTTTAGGTTGTCTAGTTTTTCCAGATTATTTAAGATTTGTACCTTTATTGAATGAGCACTGGAATCTAGACTTGGATAACATTTACCTCTAACTTTCTTGATTTACTGGTTCACTTTAAATCTAGAGACTTCTCCAAAACATTTAATTTCAGTCAAAAGGATTGGGAAGGCTTGTTACAAAACAGAACTATATCTGCATATAGGGCAGTTTTATTTTTATCCTACATCAATGGTGACATTTCTTTTTATTAGCATGCAAATATCCAGCAAATAATTCCACTGCAGCTCTGATGATGGGTATGCGGGGTGATGAATGCAGAATTCTAGAGGATATTACTACTTTCAAAGAGAGTGCTGTCTCTCTCTCTTTAAATAAAATGTATACGCAGGGCTCTAGATACATTTGTATATGCATCCGATCCGCAAAAATGGGCCGTGGATAAAAAGCAGATTTCCGTGGATTTGCAGGGCTCTAAAAATGTAGAAGAAGCCATGTAAACAAGTAGGTGCTATAGATTAAAGATAGGGAAGGAGTGTATAGTCTGACTTTCAGAAAATAAGTGCTTCAACAAACATGGCAAACGTATTGTTAGAGACCGGAAATAATTAACTTCAGCATAACACTTGCATTAAAAAGGTTAGCAAAAATTATGCACAAAAAGCAGCTGCAATGAAGTGATAGGGGTTATATAAGGAAATAGCTTCAGCATGTATCTGCAGTACTTTGAAGAAATTTAAAAAGTTCACCAATAGTTAATATATTAACTTGAGTTTACCAATTGACAGCATAATATCACATCAGAGATCACGGACTGACTTCTTAATACAACTGTAGAAAAATCACTTAAACACCTTATAGTCTTAAAATTATTAGTTAAAATGAGGTGCATCATTCTTCAGGGGGAATACAGAGGAAAAAACAGAAAGTGGGGGGAAAAAGATCGCATAATTTTTTCCTCAAAAACCTGTTAATGACCACTAATTAAGGCTCATCAAAATTCACTTGATTCACATTTTTGATGGTAGGTTTAAAAATGGTAAAGCAAAAATTTTGACAAATTCAAGTACACTAAACTCTAGTTCATTACCCTACTTTGTGTGCAAAACATAACAGTGCAGAATAGGAGACCTTATAGTAGTTTTTAAACGCATGGAGGATTTTAAAAAAATGACACTTTTGTTCGGAGAGAACACTGTCATTTGAAAGAACCATCATATTAAATGTTCATGCATGCCTCCATGAGTTTCCTAATCCTGTAAAAATAGGGTCAACAATGAATAATAGGTATCAAGAACTTCCTATGGCCAATACCTTAACCACTTAAGGCAACTGCCCCACAGATACTCTGAAAACATGAATCTGTGCATGATGATCACTTTTTATCTCTCACTGATTGCAATGGAAGTTGAGGCAAAGAACCTCACAGGATTAGACCCTAAATTAGCATTCTATTTCAATGTCTGGTTTTTAGCAGACTACACAGTACTACACATAGTTCTCATTTAGAAGACTTGTAGAGATTTTACTCTGATAAGATACAAGTCATTTGTGGAATTCTCTCGTACTGAATTCTATGTGGCATTTCAGCTATAAAAATGTAAATTGTTGTCATTGCTGCTTGACTAAATACACTCAAATACATCTAAAAAGTTGCCATTCTGTGAAGTAGTTAAGTATGCTCACACTGTCTTTAAAACTGCAAGTGCTATGTTAATAAGATTTGTAACAGAGATCTCAATATTCCCAAACTTTGTTTTTATTCAACGTACAGTATTTAAGATAAACAAAAAATATTCAATCTGAATTACAATTTTTTTTCCTTAGTCTACATAGGGTCTATTTTTGATCAACAAGTTAGTTTAAGAAGACAGCATCATTCTTAAAGTGCATGGGTATTCAATAGGGATGGATAATTTGTCTTAAATACATATGGTGTGTAAAGCACTAAGACCTGAAAGGAAATCATATATAAAAAGGGATATAAGTAACAAATTTAAGAAATATTCTCTAGTGGAATTCAAGACACAAAATACAATTCTTCAGCTAACAAAACAAAATCTTGTTATCTTCTTTCCAACAACATTCTAAGGGTCTAGGACAGTTTCTCTCAAACTTTTGTGTTGGTGACCCCTTTCACACAGCAAACCTATGAGTGCCACTTATACATTAAAAACACTTTTTTTTTTTGTATTTAACAAAGTGGGGTTTAGGGGTGGGGGCTGACAGCTCGTGACCCTCCCCCTCCCACATAATAACCTTGTGACCCCCTGAAGGATCACGACCCCCAGTTTGAGAACCCCTGGTCTAGGATGATTTAAAATGCATGTCTTCACACTGGCATCAGGAGAGCTATTCAATATGTTTCTGTCAATCATCTGAGGTAATGCCTTATTCCTCATAGCAGCTTTATATTTTTCCTTTTTCAATTTCATTTACTCAATTCAAGTGCCTCATAAGGTAAAATTGTGAAGGTATATAGACTGTATTTTTGGAAGTTTACTATATTACCCTTACCAGGAATACATTACATCATAACTTCGGTATTGTGGCTCTCCTAAGAAAATAGTTAAAATCTGCACCCGCAGGCACAAAATAAAACATAATGAATGAATTAAATTATCTAAAAATGTGCCCCAGAAATGTGTTTATGAGAATTATCACATTTATAGAAGAGTCTCTGTAGAATGGGTTAAAATTTTCCAAATGAAAATTATTTTTCATAGAATGATGGCCTTTATAAAAATTAGACGCATTTGTGAAAAAATTGTTTTTTCTAAATTATTTTTTGAAAAAACTGGAAAATGAAAAATGTACTTGATTTTTTCAGTTGATAGATTTTCCTGTCCTTCCCATTTTTCTAAAGTATAATGTAAAAAAAAAAAAAAAGGGACAAAAGGATTGGAAAAGAAAAAAATAAAAATCAAAAGATGCAGTAAATAATTTTCTATAAAAATGTTAATGAAAAATATGAAAGAAATTAAATTATTCCTTTTCTAACCTGAAGAATGAAAATTATTTCTAAGTTTGTCACAAAAGTATTTTCCATTTTTCAATAAGCTCTAATTCTCTACTTTGCAAGCATTTTCTATCAGTAAATTCCCCCCTCCCCCCAACACACTCATCAAAATATCTTCAATAATGATATTTGTACATCTATTTAATGTCCTTTTCTATCTCAGATGAATTGGGCCTTCTACAAATTCTTGTTTCAGAGTGGTAGCCATGTTAGTCTGTATCAGCAAAAACAACGAGGAGTCCTTGTGGCACCTTAGAGACTAACAAATTTATTTGGGTATAAGCTTTTGTGGGCAAGAACCCACTTCATCAGATGCATGGAGTGGAAAATACAGGAGCAGGTATAAATACATGAAAAGATGGGAGTTGCCTTACCAAGTGTGAGGTCAGTCTAACTCAGGCTCTATGAGCAGCAATGGGAACAGCAGTTCCACTTTACGTTATGTTCACAGACCTGGTGAATGTTCTATGTGATTTATGATGTTGAGAATCCAGTAGGGTCAGAAGGACTTTCTGAATTTGGAGGAGTGAAGTTTCACTATGGTGACTCTTCACTTTGATTTAGAGGCAGATGACATATGTGCATTCTAAGTTTTAACATGTGACTCTCCAAATCAGCAGTCTGATAGTCCTTACTTGGAGCTCTTTTCTTCTGGAATCCTTTAGACCAATTAGGCCCCTTCCCTGGTATCCAGGAGGGCATCATGTTGGATAAGACAGGAAACTGTTGCTTAATCTACCTTTTCTTCTCACTCTCCTTTCTTGGGACTGCATGAAGAATCTTATGGCCCTTCCAGAGCTTCCTCAAACCAATCAGGAGCAAAGCGGCAACATGAATAAGCATCCACTAAACTCTTCATCCCATGCAAGCTAAAAACAAACACTTAAAAAAATATATATGTGTACATCTTCATGATAGATGATGCACATGCCTCTGACCTGTGCTAGTCAAATACCTGAACACATTAGTAAAAATTTGGAAGATTCTTCTCTATGAAGAACTTTAATTTTTTTTGGCTTTGAGGGGGAGCAGGAGTATCATTCCTAATACACATCCACTCTAGTTGCTTATCCATGAAATAGCTGTGCTACCTTACTCACCAAGTCTTCCAATAAAAGCAGAAAAGTGAAGAGTCACAATTAAAGAATATAAAGAAATAGGGTAATTATCTGAAATTTGTGTTTTCCTGTGGGTGTGGGGTAGCTGGATAAAGAACCCCTAATAATGAATATAAAGATAAAGAAACATTATAAAACATTACAATTTAAACTTCATTCCTATCAAGGCATATACTGTTCCCAATGAAGCAAAGATGGTTGATTTCCTGTATACTAAAAAGCAGATAATAGTAAGGATTTAAAGAAAACTATAGCTCTGTTTCATTCCATTTCCAAGCCTCTTAAAGTAAAAAGAATAAACTGTAATCAAAATTCTAATGCAAAACCTACTATTTCAGTCATATCTAAGTAGCAAAAGACTTTAGATATATACATAAGCTAAGCACAACCTAGCCTGGACAAGTGCACATGCATAAATTCTGTATATATATTCTACACATTTATTATACCGCTATTTACCTTTTGTCTCCTCTTCTCTTTTCGTTTGTCTTCTGTATCTTGTAACATTTTTTCTTTCCAAAGATCAAAAAAATAGGAGGGATCAGTGTAGAACTTCAAACCATCTTTCTTATCATCTCTGTAAACACAATGGAAGAAAAGCTTAGCAAATGTCAACAATATGTTATTTAAAACTCAAGAGGCTCAGTTTTGAGGTTTGTTGGTTTAAGCTTAGTCCCCGTCTATCGTTTAACTGTAGTAAGCTAAATAAAGTACAGTGCACATAATTTTAGTTCAACATCTATAAAAGATCTCCAGAGCAATGTCATCTGTGTAAATGAACTACACTACCACTCTGAAACGAAAATATATCTAACAGGATTAAAAGAAGTCTTTGAATCATTATTTGAGGACTTGAGTAACTCAGACAGATGTTATGGATCTATTACAGGAGTGGATGGATGAAGTTCTGTGGCCTGCCTTTCTGGCCTTAAGGTCTATGAGTACAGTAAAGCAAAATCTCTCAGTTACACTTCTATACAGTACACTGTCACCAATGTATAATTATGCAGCACAAACAGATACGCAAAATACTTCATTATTCAGCTATTTATGAGCACTGGATTAATAAAATTTTAATTTCATTTTTAAATATTCAGCAATTAAAATTATCTACAATTATACCTTCAAGGTAATGATACTAAAAATATGCTGCAATCACTCTGATATATGTTATTTATATAGAGCTTTTTCAGATAAGTTACTGAAGCACAAGCGTGTACTTTTTGCAGAAATATTGTACAATCAGAAATCACAAGGCATCCTGTTATAAGCACTAGTTATATTTAACAATCACTCATATTTAAGCAATCTAATACCCAAGACATTTTAAGTAAAGAAATGATAACGTATTACCCAGAATACCCAGAAAAAGACTTAAAAATGAGATTCTTTAAACAGACTATTATAAATCTAATGGAAACCAGAGAATGAAGTCCAGTTTACTACTGCTTACTGTACCTGTCTATTTGCCAGGAAAAAGTCAGGTAATGCAAACAAACAGCAACAGCACCCAAAACTCAAGATAAACAGAATAAAATGGCAATTACTATATTCTTCCTTTTCTTTACAGTATTTATATACTCAATGACAACCTCAATTTCGTGGTACCAATCAGGTTCAGATTTACATTATTCTGAAATGGGATGATTTCAACCAGAGTGCAGGAATGGAGTACAATTATTCATAACCGTATGGTAGCTTACAATTATTTTACAGTATGAAAATCCAGTTGTCCATTCAGTACAATCCACAAAACTCACCATATTGTATGTCCATGGAAAAATTACCCATCTCCACTTCTTAGGTTCACTTTCAGATATTAATTTTTTGAGAGAAGAAACTATCTGCACTCGACAGGTATGCATAAAGTGTCCCTTTTCCACTGCACCAAGGCGGGGCTGCTGTTCTCTATATAGGTATTTATGCCACCACATTCATTAGTTGAAAGTCATCTGGTATGGCAATAACTTACAACACTCCTTTGCACATGGATAAATTAAAATAGAGTTTAAGTGACTTATCTAAAGCTATAGAGGAAATTAGTCTAAAAATGAGGTTTAGAAATTGGGTGCGTCTGGCTCACAGTTCTGTGCTCAGACTGTGTATCTTTAATATAATAATTTCTATCGCTGCTTCCATATACAAAGCACTGCAAAACCAAATTATGTTACATTATATCTAATGAGCCATTTTCCACATTCATAGAAAGCCAATCTATGAAACTAATAATATGGTTTACTTTTCAAATGCCAAAAATATTAACACCTAGAAATTAATAAATTGTTACCGTTCAATCTGACGAGGCCTTGCATTATTTATATTTATTCCGTTTGTTAACATTGTATCATCTTGCAATGTGCAAAGGGTGACTCAAACTATTACCTCGTAAAACCTGAGGATACACCTGAAACCCTGTGTTCAGAAATGCATCTGTACTGTACAGTTACCTACCCATTCTCCTCTATACTGGTCAGAATGTATCTAGCATTAAATGAGATGAATAGCACCGTACAAGAATTTAGGCACTGACTGTATCCATACCTATACGGTGTAAGAATATTCAATGGAGGTGGTTTGTCACTCTGATTGTAGATGTCAGCCACTGGATTAGGAATGCTGTTCTTTGAAACAACTTGCTGGTCCTGTATGGTCGAACTTTTGAATGCTTTTTTCATGTTGATATCCTGTAATGATACTATTAGAGAGGAAAAGAAGATATTTAATTGTGGATATTTTCTAATATTACTACAGACCAAAAATCAGATCTAATTTTTGCAACATTAAAGAGTTCTTTATTTGAAAATATTTCAACAAACTTTTCAGTACTCATATGTAGTAGCAAAACTGAAGTAATATTTATATATTTAATTTGTATAGTAAATCATGTCAAAGTATCACGTGAGAACATAGGAATTACCATACTGAATCGGACCAAAGATCAATGTACAGTGACTGCTCACTTAATGTTGTAGTTATGTTCCTGAAAAGTGCAACTTTAAGTGAAACGATGTTAAACGAATCAAATTTTCCCATAAAATTTAATGTAAACGCGGGGGGTTAGGTTCCAAGGAAATTTTTTGGGGGCAGACAAAAGGCATTATATACACTGTACAGTACTGTACTGTGGTTGGGAAGTGCCCCGGCTTACCTCACACAGGCACAGCCCGCTGCAGGCAAGGACGCTAGGAAGCACCTTCGCAGCAGCAGCAACAGCTTCCCCGGAGAAGAACAGGCGCCGATTTTGCTGGGGGATGAACAGGCCCGCTTCTTCCTGTCCCCACTCCACCCAGACCCACCTCTTCCCACCCCCACTCCATCTCCTCTCCGGAGCATGCCACATCCCCACTCTCCCTCCCCCCGCCCGAAAGTCCTAAGCACTGCCAAACAGCTGTTTGGCGGCGCTTAGGACTTTCTGGGAGGGAGGGGGAGGAGCGGAGACACGGCGCTTCCCCGCTCCTCCCCCTCCCTCCTAGAAAGTCCTAAGCCCTTTGACATGATAAGAATTGACCACCTAATCCAAATCTTTGCTCCGTCTCCCACCTCATTTTTGAGCAATATTTAGCCTCTCACTCCATGACTACCTAGCTTCTTGACAAAGCCCTGGCTGGGATGATTTAGTTGGGAATTGGTCCTGCTTTGAGCAGGGGGTTGGACTAGATGACCTCCTGAGGTCCCTTCCAACCCTAATATTCTATGATTCTTTGGTAACTTCTAAGCAGATGGAGGATTTAGGAATAAAACCTTGAAACTTCAAGTCCCTCTTTCACCTGGCTAGCACATGTGGGTACGCAAACATTTGTTTTTGACACTCAATTCTTTTTTAAACCTATTTGAATGTGAAATGATATGATCAGAATTACAGGCAGCTTTTTCAATCAAAATATTATCCTCAGCAATTAGCTATCCCGTTCACTATGGTATTTCCAACAACAACATTAGGATGAAATCTTCCTAAAAACATTTTTCTACTGATATTAAACCAATTGGGAGTATTATGGTGCTTTCAAAACTGTGTCTGATTAATAACTGATTTTACTGAAGTGAATTTTAGGAATTAAAATAGTTTGTGTGTGGCTCATTAATTTGAAAGATCATTAGCAGCGTCGGGGTAACTACAGAAAGTACTTTTGAGTGGAGTCTCCTGTGACCCTCAGATCTAGTCAATCATGAACATCAAAACAAAAGCTGCTCTGAGTGTCTCTTTACAGCTTCATAGGCTGACCAGAAACTATCCATAATGGAATAAATGGGCTGATGTTTTCTAAAAAAATTTAAAACTAGTTAAGTGAATTTAGTGCTCCTGAAATGTACCAGATTGAAAGACCTGAAGATTGAGGTCCTCCAATTTATCAAAGAACAGGTTCAATATGGACATGAGTAGTGCTAGTTTCCTCACATTTTACCATAGCAATGATTGGTGCCTCAAACCTAAGATGCAGGAGGCACCTGAAGATAGCTCAGTTTCTCAGACTACTTAGTTCTTGACCTCTCTCCTGAGATGGCCAAAAAGTGTTAAGGCCAATTCTGGGATTTTGCAAAGCAGGTATCTGTTAACTAGCAACTGGACTGAGATAAGCAACTCTTTACATACAGCAGGCAAAACAGCCATCCCATATAAGAACTTTGAGTCACTAGCAATCTAGATGTGAAAAGTTTCATATTTTTCCAATCTCCTGAACCATCTAAAAGTTTGCAAAATTATTTGCTAATTTTAGGGAACCGTAATTTACAGGGAGCTATTGATAGGACTTTCATAGTATGTTGCCATACTCTTCCAGTAAAGGGAGCATGTTCAGCAGCTGTTTTGAACTCTCATGTGCTTTGTGGCCTGAATGAGGAGTTGGCAATTTGTCCTGCCAGCTTGATGGGCTCCAGTTGACTCCACTCAGTGACGGCATTAGAGGCGAGCAATCAGGGTGATTGCCTTGAGCGCCATATTAACACATCTGTGAAGAGAGGGGCCAAATTCTTCTGTTTTGTTTTGCTGGGGGGTTAGGAGGCAAAATACCTAGGGCTGGCCCTGACTAGGCTGCCTCAGACATGGTCTGCCTCAGTAATACCCTCACTGAAGACTCGCAAAAAGACTGATTTATATTTCACACTAGATTCTTCTGGCAAATCCAGTTGCAAGATATGAGGAACAGTACAATTCCTGAAAGCAAGCATGTGATTACAGTTGCATATCCACAGTGTGTGAGTTCCTTTAATTCAACCTGAAGGTATCCTTTGTACCTGAATGCCATTTCTGGTGTACAAGTGAAACATAAATCCTAATAGAGCCCTAATTTTTTTAATCACTGAAGTCAGCAGCTTCTTTAAAGAGATCCATTTTTATACGTACACAGTTGGCATTACGATTCTAGTAAAAACCAGCATCAAATTATACAGAGCCTTTGAATTGTTTCATTTTAAAAAAAAAACAAGCTTTTCAATGTTAGGAAATTGAACTTGCAAGCAAGTTTGCACATTTCAGCTTTTTTTTTTTTAAAAGGTAGGACACAGGAATATGTTTTTAAAATTATTTAATGCAATTTCCTCAAGTTTCTAATGCATATTATTAATGTGGTCATTCATTTGTAATTATATACATAAACAAGTGATGCTGTAATTTTGGTGTTGATCCAAGGATGTGTAGTCTCTGGTGATTCGAACTTTGTATCATATTAGCTAGCTGATATTACATAAATCTCCATTTTCTTTAGGGAAAGAAGATTATAACAGCATTGATTAGAGCCAGTCATACTAGAGACACATTGATAATGAACATCAATGCTAAGCTGCAACACCCCCTTTTAAAATGAGAGGGCCAAATGCCCTAAACCTTTTAATGGTTTTACGATTTGGAAAAATTTCACTGATGACTAAATTAAATAACTTCTGATTTATTAAGATGACCTAGATCATGAGTGTAAGAGCTATGTCTCCTGTCCTGAAAGGCAAGGATTGTATCACAAAGTCCTCAAGAGGTTCAAAATATTTTTCTCCAATTAACCTAATCTGATTTTTTCCAGCAAGCCCTCCTAGTAAACATGATGAACTATCAGTTCAGCATTATTCCAAAGGAAAAAACAGTGATTGTTGTGTAATTAATTACTGTGACCTTGTCAACATCACTTCTGGTTCAGTGCTTTTATGCAATTACCTACCCTCTTCCACTGTTGAATCCAGCTGGGTAACTTTGACAGCAAGGCGATCAATTCTGTCTTGAAGAGAATTTGCTCTGATGTAGAAGTTGTTGGCCTCATTAAACAACTCACCAAATATGTCTTCAGCGTGCTTGCCTGTAGAGAAAAATAGAGAATGCCATCTGTTAAAGACTTATAAAACACAGGAAACACTGCTTCAACAGCATGATATTACAGTTAAACACTCATAATAGAATTAAAATATACAGACGTACTATGCACTTTAGCAATGCAGTATTACATCCAGAACAGTTAAATACAATGCAAATGGTCAGACAGATCAAAATAAACTTAAACAATCTCCTTAAGTGGCTGAGCTGCTAACAAAAACATGTAATCATTAAAATCCACTTCTGTGCCGAAAACTCCATGGTAGCCAATGTTATTGCTATCTTTTAAAAGGTTCCAGAGTCAGTCCTGGGAATAGTAGTGAGCCACAGTAAGTCAGGTATAATTTAATATATTTATTAATCGTCTGAACAAGAGTGAGCAGCACAAAGTGGCAGAATTATGTTAAAGTTTTAAGTTGTGCCCTATAACCAGGCTTCACTGTACACATGGTTAATTAAGGACATTCCAAAAATGCCCTTCAGCACTGTGTATTGACTGCTGGGTTGTTCAATAAAATCCTTTTGGCTGTTTCGGAATCTATTGCTGGAGAGTGAAAAATGTCCACATTCTAGAACCCTGGAGGAGCCTCCCCTTTCCTGGATCCTTTATTTGGAAAAGATAGTCTATTAATTTAACAGTGACAAGTGATGCTCACAGAATAGTGATGAAGGAAAATTTACAATATTCTGATTTTATTTTCTCTCTTTTCTGAGTGGGGGAATTTCCCAGTAGTAGAACCTCCACTAAATGTGGTGTGAAAATCTGTAAATAACATGATGAGCTAGATCCTGAGGTGCGCCCAAGCTCTGCTTAGTGCACCTAGTGGGGAGATAGACACGGCATTGTGCCACCTTTCTGCCCTCCACCTCCTGCCCCCAAAAAAGTCTAGGGGACAGCTGACAAACAGTCATAAGGACCAGAAAAAAAAGGGAAACAAACTTTTAGCAATGCCTCTATTTAAATGTTCATCTTCAGGCTTCAGAATTAACTTTCCATTAAAATGAATGGTCTGTTTGCAGCTCAGAGTTATTGTTTCAGTGTACTTGTAGATTTAATAAGATAACACTGCATCTGTTCACATTCAGAAGATCATCTTTACAACCAGAAGAGCTAGGAAAAAATATGTTAAAAGTCTGCATTTTGCAGAAGCTATCTATATGGGAGAAACTGCTCCACTACCCTTCCCCAGGCCCTTTACTGGCTTTCACCGATTTCCTCTGATGTGGCTAAATCAAAAGCTAAAGTTTACAAAGTGCTTTAAAAAAGGAAAAACAATATATAAGTGTCAGTTACCTTAAAGGAGGTAAAAGAGATTATTAAAGATCTGCTTGTGAATAATTTTCTCTTTTGAACATTGAAAAATATTTTTCAACGGTACTCACTGCTCTAAAAATGAATGATGAATGGAACACTAACTTCCTGCTGACAACAACAACAATCTGGTAAAACAACAGTGTAACAGATAACTCAAATGAACATGGTCGCAAACCATTTCTTAGACACACTTAGCTTTTCTAGCTGCTCAGAACATTACTTTTTAAATTAGATTTTTTAATAATACATGTAGTTGATAAATTGGAAAGCTGAGAACTTGAAAGCTGTCTGAAGTTAGGAGGATCATAGCTTCCATATTAAAAACCGATTGTGCTATAAAAGCCAACCATTTAAAAACAGTATTACATAGCTTCTGGAAAAGTTAATTATTAATTTGCAAAAAAGAAAAAAAAATAGTTACTTCACTTTCAAAAACAGCCAGAAATCTATGCATAACACATTCCAAAAGTCAAACTGCAATCACCCACTACTATTTCTGGATCAGTGTTTTTACAAGCAGAGGTGATCTGTTAATCCTTAATTTTAAAAGCTCCTCCCCAGCAACCCCAAGTAGATAGATAAATTGAAAGTCCTTTCCACTTCACGCAAAAAAAACAACAACCTTTCAATCTCCACTGTTTCCTTATAGTTACTGTAATATCTGACAGCACAAGGCAGTTCCTCCCTGCAGTTCCAAGTATCATCCTCGTACTATTCCATATTAGACTCTTCTTGATAAAGTGGCTTGCAAAATATACTTAAGTCTTTTGAGAAGATCACTACTACTTTTCATCAAATAATATGCATCATGATATTTCTCTCCAATGTCTGCAGTAAATAACTTGTGGGACATTTGTCTACAAAATTTTCATGCATCTGTAGTTGATCTCTGGTAGCAATCTCTGCAAAAATCAATTGCAATTAATTCCCTACAAAAATCTGTATTAACATATTGAATAAGATGTCTCTGAAGTTACCTTCTGAAAGAAATGAAAATGATTAGTGCTGGTTACAGAAAAGAAACAAATCAATGATGCAGATGAGCCTGAGAAGCAAAAACCTATCAGTGTTAATTACAGAGACTATCTTCTTTTAAGCTTATTAATGAAAGTATCTGAGACTGAAAAAAATAGTATTTCTTTCTTGTGCTTGAGGCCGCTAATATGCTTCTAGTATGTAAGGCAGGGTGGGCAAACTACGGCCTGCGGGCCACATCCAGCCCGTCAGACCTTTTACTACACCCCTCAAGCTCCCACCAGGGAGCAGGAGTGGGGGCTTCAGCCAGGGGATGGGGTCCGGGGCTTTCCCCATTCCGTGCGTGCCGTGGCTCCGGAAGCAGGGGCAGCCAGGGGGCTCCGCATGCTGCCCCCGCCCCAAGTGCCGGCTCTGCAGCTCCCATTGGCCAGCAACCACAGCCAATGGGAGCTGCGGGGGCAGTGCCTGCGGATGGGGCATGCTTCCGGGAACTGCTTGAGTTAAGCGCCGCCTGGAGCCTGCACCCCTGAGTGCCCCAACCCCCTACCCCAGCCCTGATCCCCCTCCAAACCCTTTGATCCCAGCCCGGAGCACCCTCCTGCAGCCCAAACCCCTCATTCCCAGCCCAACCCCAGAGCCCGCACCCCCAGGCACAGCCCTCACCTCCTTCCACACCCCAACCGCCAATTTTGTGAGCATTCATGGCCCGCCATACAATTTCCATACCGAGATGTGGCCCTCAGGCCAAAAAGTATGCCCACCCCTGATGTAAGGTGACCTCAAAGTAAGAGGGTTTCAATGCATTAACTGAACAACTATTTATCTAACTGTGAAAGCCTATTACTAAAGATAGGTGGTAAGCAATGGGGGAAGGGCAGCAAAGGAATCTAAACATATGAGAGAACACAACATTTTAAAAAATGATAAAAAAGGAAAAATGAATGTAGAAGAACTAGCAATTTAGTTGAGTACATTAATGAATTTATAAACTAAATTCAACTTACGAAGTATCCAATGCAAAGATTACCAAGGGCTTTTTATATTTACATTTCAGATATAATCAGCAGTGGACAGCAACTATTCTCCCTTCTCTGTGTACAAACATGGATAAAATCAGAGAACAAAAGAATCTGTTCCCCATAATGACTCTTGTCTGGCATATACTGTAGAAAAAAATATTTAAACTCCTTATCAGCTGTGTTATAGAGACAGGTGGAAGAGAATTTTCATAATCCATCAATGAACCTCACTTAATTCTTGGTGGTCTCGTTCAACACTTCAACTAAATGGATCCCCCAAAGAAGCATTTGCCCACTATACAAAAGGGTCATGAACATGAATGTAGCTTAAAGTTTTCATCTTGCATAGCCAAAACTATTGAGAGGCTGACAGGTTATGGGCTAAAAGAAGAGTCCTTAACTATATTGTGTAAGTAACAACAGTATTATTAAAGGAAAACAGTATGATCCAGTGAATAAGCAAAGAGTCATCTGCCCCAGACTTCGACTTTCCTACTGGCTGAAGTCCTGCTATCACACTGAACTCCACTAATCTGAGGTGATGAATTTCCATCTCTCTAAGAAATTAGATAATTATCAAACAGGTGAGAAGAAGGATGCAGAAGGGCGGAAGGATTCATTCCAAGGTCTCGAGAGCTTCATCAAAATTTCTTTTTTGAAGCTGCAGCTTGTGAGTAAGACAGACATACTAGAAACAGGATGTTGAAGACCTATGGCCAACACTGAAGTTTTTTCAATATCATCAAGCCTTTGTTAACTATTGATCTTCAAGATTCCCCACATGTATCTTTAAAGCCTTTCCCAACATGACTTGGTCAACTGAATCAAATGCAGTCTTCAGATCGACATACACTACATACACCATGAGCTCAAGAAGCCCCAGTATCTCCAATAACAAGCGAAGGGCCCAAATGGTGTTTAATATGGACTTGTTAGTCGTAAAGCCTGACTGTTGGGGGTGACGCTTCCGATGTAGCAAGGACTCCAAACGCACCAGCCGAATATATGCAAACACATTCCCTGGCATGGGCAACAAGGTGATCAGTCTGTAGCTCTTACATTCACTGTGTGGTCCCTTGCCCTTATAAAGTCAGTTCACAATACTGTCCCTCCAGGTGGTTGGCAAGGTTCCAGTTCTTCACACCAGGCAAAAGATGACCAGAAGTGATTCCGCTACAGGGTCAAAAGAACATTTTAGCAGCTATAAGGAGATGCCATCAGTGCCAGATGCACATCTCTTTCAGTTTGCAAATGGCACGCTTCACTTCATCCAAAGTTAGTGCATCTGTACAAGCATCTGGGTCCGAAATCACAGTGACTGCCAAATGATTCAGCTCTGGGCAAGCAGTGGCTGGAGGGTGTTTCAGAGCACTGTGATAATGTTCCACCCAGCATGAGAGGATGTCATCATCTGATTTACATGGATGGCCTTGGCTATCATTCAGGATGCCGTTTGTAGCGACTACCTCTTGACCGCTGAGGTTGCAGATCACATGGAATGTCAGTTTTAAGTCTCTCCTGGCTAAGCAGAGTTCAACTTCATCTGCCATTTGGTAAGAATATGCCTCGCGATTGTGAAGCGCCAGGGCACTGAACTTTCGCTTCAGCTAATTATGACCGTGCCTATCGCCTTGCTGGTGGGCTGTGGCTTTCAATTTAATTGTCTGAAAGGCCTCCTCTGTTAGCCACGGTTGAAGAGCTGGACATCTATAGCTGATTGGTGGAGGATGGAGGCGAACAGAAACCAAGTGCCCTCAACCTCATCTGGCCGTCAGCTAGAGACAAGAATCTATTGCTGATGTCGATATAAAACCTGTTACCTAAACCTGGCATGCAGAGAAGTGCGCCAATGTCAACCTTCTTCAACTGGGAGTTGAAAAATCTGGGTTCTGTGTACCCATCCACAAGTCATTTAATCACTCTGTGCCTCAGTTTCCCAATATTCAAATAGGGATGGATGTTACTTTATTTTGTAAAGCACTTCCATAATAGTGCTTTATAAAGAGCCAAGTATTATCATGTGTTTTTAATATTTCATGAAGTTTTTTTAAAAATCTTGTTTTGTTTATTTCATCCCTGTCATATCTTTCATAGCTATTGTAATTTTCATGCAATTGTACTTTTTGCTTAAGATTATTTCTGTTACACTTTTCCAATTTTATTTTCTGTGTGATCTTATTTATTTGCTCCACTTTCTCCACACGTTTGCCCACGTTGTTGCAGTTGTGCCTAAATAATCCCCTTTCTTCAACTTGGCAAGCCCTCTCCCAACCTTTCAGTCTGACAGGATTTTGTTTTTCCCCACCAAGTTCCACTAGTGTTACTACCAACCTATATTTCTCTGCCTCCTCATCTCCCTTGTGAGCACCTCTGCTTCTCAGCCAGGCAGAATTATCTAAACATTAGTTGACTGATTTCCCTGTCAAGCCATTTTAGGGAACACTTGACTGGTGACTCCAATGTGGGAATCTGGGAAACACCCTGAAACCATGGAAAATACAGGAATTCCTATATATGTCATGACTGCTAACAGAGCTGCAAATTAGAACTACTGGCAAATATATATTTTCTTTTTGACTAAACATTGGTTTTATTTTGAATTTGTAATGAATACTAAATTAAGATGGCATTTGCTACTCTTGAGGTGTCCGTCACAAGGATGAAAAAAATGACACTACAATGTTTAAGTAGCTACAATTAGCACAACATTAACCTCAGTTGAGAAGTAATGTAAAAGCAAGCATGATGGCACAGGATAGGATATAAGAGTTCACAGGGCAGCAATCTGAGAAAGTGAAAAGAGACTTGCAATATATTAATACTACTACTATAAAAATAGGGTTGGCAGAATTTGATTTTTTTATAGTTTTGACTGATAAACATTTTTATCTATTTAAATTTTCACAATTGTGGGAAATTATGGGAGGGTCCGACAATTATTTAATAAGAGTAGATTATAAGATTCAAAATGTTGAAGTTTTATAACTGTTAGAAAACAAACTTTCAACATCACATGCAAAATATACAAATAAAATATTCTTAAATCAAACCCTAGTAAGTTCTCAAGCAGCATTTATATTTTTCCATCAGTGTCTGTGTGTGCCCTGAACAGGGCCGGCCTTTGGGGTCGACGGCCAGGGCAGTTACCCGGGGCAGCTTCCCAGGGCGGCCTGCCAAAGAGGGCGCCGTGCGCTGGCCCAGCCCAGCGCTATACACCTCTACCTCGATATAACGCTACCCAATATAACACGAATTTGGACATAACGTGGTAAAGCAGTGCTCCGGGGGGGCGGGGCTGCACACTCCAGTGGATCAAAGCAAGTTCGATATAACACGGTTTCACCTATAATGCGGTAAGATTTTTTGGCTCCCGAGGACAGCGTTCTATCAAGGTAGAGCTGTACTTGCGTGCTGCGGCCAAGGGGCTGCGGTGCTGGTTTCTCTCCACCCGGCCCAGCCCCAAACCCCCACTTCTCTCTGCTGGCGCCGGGTGGAGAGGAGCCCTCAGCCGCTGCGGCTCTGCTCTGGCCCCACCTCCTCCCCCAGGAGGGTGGTGCGAGCGGGCGGGGGGACGCTCAGTGACAGGCCAGGGTCAGGGTTTCTGGCTGCCCCAATTTCATGCAAAAATTTAATTCAAGCCCTGGTAGTTCATATGAGAAATGTGAAGGATGAAATAGTGTGATGGTTCCCTTTTAGTGGGAGCAGCACATGGCTGGTGTTTTGGCCAGCTTTGGCTTTTATTAGCTGTATTTACACACACACACACACACACACACACTCTTCCTCACACTGTCCCTCCCCCCCAACACACACACCAGAGCTCCCTGCATCCAGGTCACTTTCCCCACCTGTGCTGTGAGGCCTCAGCAGCTGCTGCTCTCGTTCCCTCTCCTTACGCAGCCCAGGCAGGGAAAATGACCTGGATGCAGAGAGCCCTGATGTTGCTCCTCACTCTCCCCCCCCCCACACACCCCTCTAGGGGTGTGCAGGACAGAGGAGCAACTGTCCCGAGGGGAGCGAGCAGCAATGCCAGCTGCTTCGTGCATCCAGGTCAGTTTCCCCACATGGGTGCAGGAGGGGGATGCAGGGGTTAGGAGTGAAGGGGGTTATGGGATTAGGGGTGCAGGAAGGGGAGCAGGCCTTTGGGGTGAAAGGAGGGTGGGAAGCCTGGGGAACCCATGGGGGCCAGGGGCACCAAAATGCAAGTTTGCCCAGTGTGCCATTTTCCCTAAGACTGGCCCTGAAATCAACATTTACCAATCAAAATCTAATCCTTCCAAGCCTATATAAAAGTATCCAAGATGGAGAGTTAGCCGCCAGCATTCTGTATGCACAAAGCTCAAGGAAGAGGTCTGAATCTTACTGGGGTCTTGTCTACACTTAAAAAGCAGCTGTGCCACTGTAGCGCTTCAGTGAAGACGCTACCTATGCACACTGCACTGAGAAAGCCTGAGAGCTGTCAGAGCAGAGGGAGAGGGGATAGAGCTGGATCAGGCCACACCACCATTAACCCCATTCCTCCCCAGACCCAGCAAACGGCACCAGTAGCCCTTCCCCAATACCCCTCTGGGGGCACCACATGGGGCAGAAGCTCCTTTGACCTCCCAGGGATGGAGAATAGATGGAGAGAGACAGCGCGCACACAAGCTAGGTTAGTCTTCCACTAGCCATCCCTGAGCCTAGCAGTCCATGCCCCATTCCGGGATAACAGCTTTCTCCTAAATCCTGACGCTCAGGTGGTAAGAGTCTGTGCTGTGGTGCTAAAGGTTCAGGACTCACACCTGACCCATATTTAAACATGATACTTTTCTTGGACACAGTTTAGTACAGGGTGGATTAGTCAGAGCTCACTGCTCTCTAAACAAGTTCAGTAGACTCAAACTTTCCTAATAAATGTAAGCTCAAAAGAATAATATCTAGTGCCATTATCTTACGGAGTTGGAAACCTAATGAAGTCACATAACAGACTTTTTAATTAAGAGCTTTACCTGTATAAATTACTTCATGAAACCATTTTCTGTTCTGTTTCTGGCAGAAAAGAGTCTAAAGTTAAACATATTAAATCTATAGCTAACATAAATATTGTAATTATCTGAATTTCTAAAATACACAAAAATTGAAGCTCTTCCTTGAAATAGATCTAAACAAATCTAGACTTTCTTTCTAATAGTCTCTTGTTACCCTAACTTTCCTCAGTTACTGTTTGTCACTCTGTTTACAAGGGGACAATGGCATCCATTCTCTTTCTGATGTGTGTGCTTACTTCCCATTAGTATTAACAGGTCATGTGCAAGTAAAGGAAAACCAGATTCCTAAGAAAAAATAAGTTCCTTAAAAGACAACAGAACCAACTTCCTATGGCCATCTAATGCCAAGAAGCAGAGTAGTCTACTGGACTGAGCAAGGGACTGGAAGCCAGGAATTTGTGATGCATGTTCTAATCTTGGCTTTTACGTTGATTTACGTGGGCCTGAGGCAAGTTCACTTAGTCTCTCTGTGCCACACTTTCCATATCTAAACTCTAGATACCTCAGGGAGGTGTTGTTTGCACAGACCTTTGAAGATGTAAAGCAGTATATAAGAGCAGAAGCATTATTATGATACACTTTGCAAATGGCAAAGTCTTAAATTTTAATTTGTCCATTTAAAACAAGTAAACAAAGCCTTTGTGCTACTCAATTTTTCATTAATAAACAAAAGTACAAAACTATAGAGACTTACTCAGACTGCTTAGTTGCCGTATAATAGCAGCAAGGGTACTGTTGGTGACACATTCCAGTTCACTAGTTATTCCTTCAGGAAGAGCTCCTCGGCAGAGGTGCCTAGGTTCAATGTTCCTCTTTACTAAAGGCATGGCTCACAATCTGCAATTTACAGAAAAAAAAAAAGTGTTATAGTTCAAGCAAAATAGGAAGTTACAATGTACACTGGACATTTCCCTAATATACCTTAAATAAGTGTTTCCCTTTATTGCTCATTTTAGATCACCCTCAAGTGTTCTAGGTACTGCCCAGAAAACACAAGAATGACAAGCCCCTGCCCTGAAGAGTTTATAGTCTAAGTGGACTTAACAGACAAATTAAGATCCAACATCCAAAAGTAATGTGCTGCGGGAGAGGACACAAGTTACAGAAATAAGATTCCTCAGTTAAGGTCTTATTGGTCGTATAGCTGTTGGTTGTGTGGCTGTTACAAGGTTTGATATTTTGTAACTAAATATACTTGTTTTTCTAGGTGATGTTGTAGAAATATGCTTTTAGGGATGATCTGAATGAGGTAATGATGAAGACTTGACAAACAGATTTTGGAAGACCATTTCAAGTATAAAAGGCAATATGGAATCTGCGAGACATTTGTTGGAGAAAACAAAAGGGACATCAAGGCTTATGTCCCTGTAGGGGTTGAGGATGGAGACAGGCAAACGTGGCAAAACAGAGCAGACTGAAGGGATTGTGAAAGGAGACATGGGCATGGTTGCTGCAAAATACAGGTCCATAAGAAAGTGAAGACAAAAAGTTTGAACTTGATGCAACATTCCATGGGGATACAGTGAAGTGACTCGAAGGTGGAAGTAAAGATAAGTTATTTAAAAAATTATCAGTTAATAAATCTTTGTAAATTAGCAACTGAAAGGCAAGAAAGATGATTTTGAGATGGGCATTTTGGAACGAACCAAGGGAATGAGGCAAAGAAGATTAGAGAGGAGGAAGTTGCAGTAGTCAAGCAAGGTAATGATCAGCAAGTGAACCAATGATTTTTCTGCAGAGATTGAAAGCTCAGGTATTTTCTTTTTTTTTAAATGTCTGATGACAACAATAAATGTTTAGCTTTGTAGGATCACAGATATATTCCAGGAGGACACATTTTTGTACAGAAATCTGGATCTTCCTTAGGAAAACTAAGTGGCAAGAGTTTATTTGGAGGCAAATATTGAAGTCTTCCTTTTTGCTGCACTGGAGCAGTAATAAAGTAGTAACCTTTCACCTTTAATTTACTCCTGAGAGAATTCTACGCCACTGTGCAATGCAGAATTTGTGCAGAAGGGGAGATTACTTACATGTTACTGGAGGTTCTTTGAGATGCATGGTCCCTATCTGTATTCTACTGAGAGTTATGCACATGCGCTGTGTGCTTGGAACTTTTCAAAGTAGGAATGTCCATCAGTCCACGCATACGCCCTTGTACTGCCTCATGGTTTCGCCCAAGACGATAAAGGGCAGGGCGGACTGACTGCACCTTGAGTTCCTTCTCTACCACAAATCTAACAAATCTGCAGCAGAGGGAAAGGAGGGCGGGATTGGAATACAGATAGAGACCACACATCATAAAGAGCCCCTACCGTGTTTCCCCGAAAGTAAGACATCCCCCGAAAATAAGACCTACTTCCAGTTTTGCCTCTCGCTGTAATATAAGGCATCCCCCGAAAGTAAGACCTCCCGGATAATAAGGCCACCCCGGAATATTAGGCCCCGAAGCTCCAGGAAAAATAAGACCTCCCCTGAAAATAAGACCTAGCGCATCTTTGGGAGCAAAAATTAATATAAGACACTGTCTTATTTTCGGGGAAACAGGGTAGTTACACGTAAGTAACCTCCCTTTCTTCTTCTTCGAGTGACGGTCCCTATTGTATTCCACTGAAGATGATTAACAAGCAGTATCTAGATAAGAGAAGTGTGCAAGGAAGATGACTGCACCATAGAACAGAGACCGCTGCATCAAATGAGGCATCTGTCAGAGTCTTGCACCAGGGCATAGTGAGAAGAAAAGTTGTGTACCGAACTCCATATGGCCACCTTACATACGTCCATAAGGGACATATTGTGGAGCGCGGCCGTAGTTGATGCTTGTGCTCTCGCGGAATGGGCCTGAATCCCACCTGGTGGGGACTGCCCCAACAACTGATAGAGCGTAATGCACTCTGAGACCCACTTCGAGATTCTCTGGGTGGAAATGGCCTGCCCCTGAATTCTGCCTTCTATGGCAACAAATAGCCTAGGAGACTTCTGGAATGGCCTCATCCTTTGTAGGTAAAAGAGCATAAGAACAAAAAAGCAGCCATACTGGGTCAGAACAAAGGTCCATCTAGCCTAGTAGCCTGTCTTCCAACAGTGGCCAATGCCAGGTGCTCCAGAGGGAATGAACAGAACAGACAATCCTCAAGTGATCCATCCCGTCGCCCATTCCCAGCTTCTGGCAAACAGAGGATAGGGACACCATCCCTGCCCATCCTAGCTAATAGCCATTGATGGACCTATCCTCCTTGAACTTTAGTTCTTTTTTGAACCCTGTTATAGTCTTGGCCTTCACAACATCCTCTGGCAAAGACTTCCACAGACTGACTGTGTGTTGTGTGGAAAAAATACTTCCTTTTGTTTGTTTTAAACCTGCTCCCTATTAATTTCATTTGGTGACCCCTAGTTCTTGTGTTACGAAAAGGAGTAAACAACACTTCCTTATTTATTTTTTCCACACCAGTCATGATTTTATAGACCTCCATCATATACCCCCTTAGTCATCTCTTTTCCAAGCTGAAAAGTCCCAGTCTTATTAATCTCTTCCCATATGGAAGCCATTCCATACACCTAATCACTATTGCTGCCCTTTTCTGAACCTTTTTCAATTCCAATACATCTTTTTTGAAATGGGGCGACCACATTTGCACGCAGTATTCAAGACGTGGGTGTACCATGGATTTATATAGAGGCAATATGACATTTTCTGTCTTATTATCTATCCCTTTCTTAATGATTCCCAACATTCTGTTTGCTTTTTTGACTGCCGCTGCACATTGAGTGGATGTTTTCAGAGAACTAGCCACAATGACTGTAAGATTTCTTTCTTGAGTGGTATCAACTAATTTAGACACCATCATTTCATATGTATACAGGAACTCCTCACTTACCGTTGTAGTTATGTTCCTGAAAAATGCGACTTTAAGCGAAACGATGTTAAGCGAATCCAATTTCCCCATAAGAATTAATGTAAATGGAGGAGTTAGGTTCCAGGGAAATTTTTTTCACCACACAAAAGACTATATTATATATACATACACATATATATACACATACATACACACACACACTATAAGTTTTAAACAAATAATTTAATACTGGTACACAGTGATGATGATTGTGAAGCTTGGTTGAGGTGGAGGAGTTAGAGGGTGGGATATTTTTCAGGGAATGCCTCACTGCTAAATGAACTAGCAATTGACTGAGCCCTCAACGGTTAACTCCCACACTCTAAGAGGCAGCAGGAAAGGAGGGAGGGCAGACACACACCCTGTGTGTGAGAGAAAAAAATGCACATTTCCCCTTTAAGTAGCTGACCTCAGGCTTAAGTACATTGCCCTGTTAATTAAATAAGCTTGCTGAGACCTGCTGAGACTGCAGCTACTCCTAGAAGCTCCCTCCGTAATGTGTCTCTCCCCCCCCAGCTCTATGGAAGATGGGGTAACCGGGGTGCAGGAGCAGGGGGGAGGGGGAGACACCCTGACATTAGCCCTCCTCTTCCCCCCTCCCCCCGTACAGCAAGCAGGAGTCTCTGGGAGCAGCTCCAAGGCAGAGGGCAGGAGCAGCACATGGCAGTGGCGGGAGGGACACAGCTGAACTGCAGGCAGCTGCTGCACAGGGAACTTAGGGGAGCAGGGAGCTGATATGGGGGCTGCTAGTCCACCCTGGTTCCAAGCCCCCACCAGCTAGCTGCAACGGGCTGCTCTTCCTGCAAGCAGTGGACAAAACAGGCAGCTGCCAAACGACATTAGAAGGGAGCATTTCACAACTTTAAACAAGCATGTTCCCTAATTGATCAGCAACAACGTTAACCGGGATGACTTTAAGTGAGGAGTATCAGAGAGGTAGCCGTGTTAGTCTGGATCTGTAAAAAGCAACAGAGAGTCCTGTGGCACCTTTAAGACTAACAGATTTATTGGAGCATAAGCTTTCGTGGGTGAATACCCACTTCGTCAGTGTATGCTCCAATACATCTATTAGTCTTAAAGGTGCCACAGGACTCTCTGTTGCTTTTTAAGTGAGGAGTTACTATAGTGGGGATTATGTTTTCCAATGTGCATTAATCAACATTGAATTTCATCTGCCACTTTGTTGCCCAGTCACCCAGTTTTGAGAGATCCCTTTGTAGCTCTTCACAGTCTGCCTGCGTATCTTGAGTAGTTTTGTATCATCTGCAAATTTTGCCACCTCACTGTTTACTCCTTTTTCCAGATCATTTATGAATATGTTGAATAGTATTGGTCCCAATACAGACCCGTGGGGGACACTACTATCTCTCTCTCCATTCTGAAAACTGACCATTTATTTCTACCCTTTGTTTCCAATCTTTTAACCAGTTACCAATCCATGAGAGGACCTTCCTTCTTATCCCATGACAGCTTACTTTGCTTAAGAGCCTTTGGTGAGGGCCCTTGTCAAAAATTTTCTGAAAATTTAAGTACACAATATCTACTGGATCCCCCTTGTCCACATGCTTGTTGACCCCCTCAAAGAATTCTAGTAGACTGCTGAGGCATGATTTCCCTTTACAAAAAACATGTTGGCTCTTCCCCCAACAAATTATGTTAATCTGTGTCTGACAATTCTGTTCTTTACTAAAGTTTCAACCAGTTTGCCTGGTACTGAAGTCAGGCTTAGCGACCTGTAATTGCCAGGATCACCTCTGGAGCCCTTTTAAAAAATTGGCGTCACATTAGCTATTCTCCAGTCATTTGGTACAGAAGCTGATTTAAATGATAGGTTACAGGTTACAGTTAGTAGTTCTGCAGTTTCACATTTGAGTTCCTTCAGAACTCTTAGGTGAATACTATCTGGTCCTAGTGACTTATTACTGTTTATCAATTTGTTCCAAA